ACAGTGACGGGGTCATGTGATTGACTGATTGGTGGGCAGAGGTGGACGAGTAGTCTGGTTTTAAAATTTACAGGATTTTAATTCAAGAGGTGTGTGATTAGTCAGCTGGTTGCAGTTTTTCAGCTGATAATTTTCTTCACTTTATTTATGTACAAAATAAAATATACTTGCGTACTATTTTTTCTACCAAGATGAAATCATGGTTCTTCACTGTTTTAGAAATGTAATTTTGGTTTGAAAGTTTGATCAATTTATACATTTTAATGAATTTAGTTTAGTTTGGTTTGGCATACAAAAAATAACAAAAKAAATAATAAGAATAAACAAGATGTTCTGGAGAGGTCTATAACCCCAAAYGGGCTTACAAGTGGCAACCCCTCATAAAATAAAATATAATTAAATTAAATTAAAAATACTTCATTGATCCCAAATGGAAATTTACATTTTGGAACAACCCATCTGGGGGACAGGTGCCCCAGGTCCCGCAGCCATGGAGAGTTGCTACCCTAAAATACAATAATATACAATAAAATGAAAAATATGAGCTTATTAAAACAAACTTCAAAATAGGTTTAGATTTGTGCTTCGAAATAAGACACTAACACAAACAGATGAAGAAAAATTATGATGCCTCAAAATATTTAAATTTTAACAACCCAAAATACGTATGAATAAATAAATTCAAACAAGAAACACAAGCAAAATATAAAATATATAAAGGGGAAAAAACTTGTTTCAACATTTTTAAAATGACAACAGTGTTGTACATGCATCACTTTGATGTTTTAAATTATTCCACAGCACARCACCATGATACATAATGAGAATTTTCATACAGCAGTTCTACAAAAAGGGATATGAAAATCTTGTGGAATAGGATTGATAAAAACAAATGTCATTAACAAGCATGGCCATGTGAAGGGATTTTTTGAAGTGCTGTTGAAAGGTTGTAAACACTTAACRTCTTACCTGTTGTAGATAGCACTTTGAACAACCTCAGCTTGGAGAAATAGCACACAGAGCCCAGTATACTCGATCTGAAGTCATAGACAACGCACAGTCATGTGGTTGTTTGACGTTCATTTTCACACAGATTTCATAGCTCCTGGGAAACCCCTCCTGCTGCAGAATACATCACACTGTGTAAAACACCCCTCCAAAAAACTCCAAACTCTGCTGTTGATTTGTCCACAAGTCTGTCCCCAGTTAAAACTCCATAGTTTTTGTCAGATTCCTCAGTGCWCGTCTGTTTTATTTTTTTAAATGTCTGCTTCCAGGTTGAACACTTGAATTCTGGAAGTGAGTAGTTGAAGCAAAGTGCAGCGTTCCGAGTGCTTTCAGCATAAACAAACACACCCACGAACTTCTGACCAGTCGTCTAATAATCTCTCGTGTGGAGKGGGGTGAAAATTGACAAGTAAGGGTGGAAGACTTGGAGCTGTGAACAAATTGACAATTTTTATCATGCAATTGCAAGAATGAGAGATTTCTGATTTCAGCAGTTCAGATGGAGCATACTGGTGCTTTACACTAACTGGACTAACAAGCTAGCAGCTAGTTCAAACAGGGCCAAGACCAAAATCAATTGCTGCAATTTTAAAGGTGCTCCATTATTAGAAATTTTATAAAATATGTTGATTTTATAAACCTTTACACTGTATGAATTTTACAGTTCAGGGTAATTTGCGTAGAATTCTGTGAATCTTCATAAATACATATAGTGGAAGCAGAGCTCGTCCCATTCCTGGTGTAACCTTCACTTCCTGCAGGAATATCACAATGTTTCTGCCAAAAATAACCATGGAATGCAAAACCCACTCTTAAAAAGGCTTATAAAGAAGGCTTATAAAAATGAGCGCAGTTAGGGCCACATCATGTCCATACTGGGCTGGCAGCGATCCGTAAAAGGCAACACACTCTCCAAGGCAGCTGTTAGGTGAATCACTGCCGTTCTAGCTATAAACAGGATTGTACCACATTCTCAGAACAAGTTGCAGCAATTGATGATTTTCACAATGCATGCTATTTTGTGTGTGCGTGTGTGTTGTGTTGTGTGGGCTAATTAGCCAAAACACTTAACAAAACAGAAATCAGTGAGAACTAATTCCAGCTGCTGCTTTGTAATTTAGGACCATATCTGTTTTTATCCTTTTGCTTAAGAAATACAGTTGGGTTGAAGACATCTGGTTTATTAAAGTTTACTTTCCCAGAGTCCTTCAGCTGATAGTCCAATGGAGCAACAAGAGGGATGCCTGTATTCTAACAGTAAACCAGATCTTATCCACTATAGTTTCTGCTTTACCTCCTTTTAAAATAAACTAGGGTGGCAGAGACTGATGCTGAAACTTTCAGTTGCTGTTTTTTTTTTCTTTAGGAGWAGGTGGGCAGAAAGTGTTGTGTTAAAGAAGCACAGCAACTAGAAAAGTGTTAGCAGGAAACAACTTTTCAGTGTGTAAAAGAAGAATTTCAAAGCAAAAATCCAACCGTCACAACCATCTTCATTTTGTTGAGACGAACACCTATGGTCACACACCAAGTTGCTTCCTACTGATGCTTCTAGTCGCTGATGGAGTTACAAAATATTTTTCTCTCTGAAATCCATTAAAAAATGTGACTTAGGGATTCCTAAAATGTTTGCGAATTGCATATGAACGGAAGGTTGAAACAAACAAAAAAAAAAACGTATTAACAGCAATCATTCCTGTACGGTAAGGTTGGGCATAATCGTATCAAGTGCAATTAATCGTCAGAAAAACTGTCACCAATTAATATTTGCAATTAGTGCAATCAAGCGTGCATGAATGGTGAAATGGCAGAAAGAGGAAGCTAACGCTAACACTWTAAAATTGTTTAATCACCTGAAACCGAAGTACGAGGAAAGCCAYTGTTGATCTACTCAGCAGAGAATCCACGATGCACTCAGTCAATGTTTCCCTTAGGAGCAGCAAAGTAAGAGCTGGAAGATAAAAACATTGGGCATGGCTGTTTTATAAAGGAGATGGTTTGACTGATAATTAATAATCTAGAGTCCAAAACATGCAAGTGCAATTTTTGTCTATTAATCATCATATTAATCTTTATCAACTAAATGCCACAATTGTGAAATTTTTTTTTTTTGCCAGTATCGCCCAACCCTACTGTACGAACGAGGCCCAGTTGTATTTGATTATCATTGCCCATCCACTAAAAATAGCAGGAAATATACATTTGAGGGGTACTACATTTGCAGCGGCAACATGACCTCCATCACAGTGAAGGTATTTTCTGCAATCCAGCCACTTCCTAATAGGTCATAGAGAGCATTGCGGGAGTTGTCAACTTGTGAGTAAGAGGGTTACTTCTAATTGGAAGATCAACACTCCCACTGAATGTGCAGCATGTAGACTCATTTACAAGCTTAAAAATATAGTTTTTATCTGAGTGGTTTTAATACTAAAAATACACCTGTGTGTGTGTGTGTGTGTGTGTGTGTGTGTGTGTGTGTGTGTGTGTGTGTGTGT